AAACACTAATTGTACTATTGCCCTTGTGTGGGTGCTTGTTCCTTTACTACTACGAGCAAAACGGTATAATGCCTACTCCTTCTTAGAGGTCTCAACCATTCCCCTGAATTTCATAGCTCACTAGGGAATAAACGGAGAGAAAAAAGCTTGACATTACATAGAGCATTACTCCATTACATATGATCCCACACAGAAACACACAATTGCTAGTTTGCCACAAATTACACTACATTTATTGGCCGCCGAAGTTGTTGATAAGGACAAAATGCCCGTAACATCTCTCTCTCTCCCTCAAGTTCTTCACTCACCGCCAAGAAGTCATCCAACTCTCCACGACCAAACTATAAGAAGAGCTCTTCTCTTCCCATTTTCTCCATCACTAAGCTCTCTCTCTCAGAAGAAGAAGAAGAAGAAGAAAATGGCTTACAAATCTGGATCAATCCTTGCTTTCCTATTCATCCTCAATGTTCTGCTCTCCTTATCAGGTCATGCACTTGCAGGACGTGACATTCCAATGAATGACTCCAAGAACACAGACAAGAAACAACCCGAGTCATTTTTTGATGGCAGTGTGCTCATTCCGGGCTTTGGCCGCGTCATGGTCCCAAGCATAGGGTCACCTTTCAATCCATTCACATACAATCCCGTCACAGGCACCAATGGGGGAACCGGTGCCACCATCCCTGGCTTTGGCAGCATTCCATCCACCGGCGGGACCAGCGGTGGCAGCTATGTTCCCGGTGGTGACGACACCTTTCCCACAAACCCTGGGTTCGAGGTCCCGATCCCGGGGAGTGGTAGCGGTATTCCTGCACCACCTGGTCCTTGAGGTAGTAGGAGTTGTCAGTTCAGTGTCCAACAAATAAGCATGGCAGTGCATGACTTTCTATCCATCACTGNATCTACTTTACAAGTCATCAAAAACTTGGGGGTTGGCGGGTGTGTGGGCCTGGGGGGCTCTCCACTCATAATATAGTTAGTTGGTGAACGGAATTCTAATAAAAAAACATGAATACCATGTTACCAAAAAGCCACAAATAATAGTACAACAAGTCAATAACAACGATTTGTTCTGAAGGAACGTCCAGGCAAAGAATTTCAGTCTTGGACAATTTCTAAAGCATCAAAATCAATTGAACGAAATGAATTTTTAGCTTAGCTAATATTTTTGCTGAAGAAGGTCAATGAAACTGATGAGTACAGAAGATAATACACATAGAAACCGCATTGATGTGTATTTAGGTGTACAATGAATGAACCTAATAAATAGACCACCTACCACATGCCTTTCTCACTTAGACAACCTTTAGACAAATAAATTCTAACTACTTGATCATACGAAATCTTGCTTTAATCATGATAAGTCACTTAAATGAGCTTTCTCTCATGTCCACAAAATTGAGTAGCAGTAACCTCACTCAATAATTCCATCACTTCCTATGAGTCAATTTCTTGTGGAATCAACATCCAAATCATGAAGAACAATGTTTTGTTGCTGTCATTCTCAACTTAAAGCAAAACATGGCTGCCATAAGAACTCTCCATCAATGCCTCTCGCATCACTTTAATCACACAGCTACCTCAGAGTCATGGCTGCCAACCACATTAGTACTATCTCCAACAATAACAAGCAAATCACTATCATCAAGTCCAAGAAGTTACTCTTCTATATATCCAAAGTCTAGGATTCACTGAAAGGTGTAAAACACAAATCCTTGAAAACTAATCTGGATGATTAAGTCTTCATGCACATTAAAGAATCAATAAACTTTCGCTCCACGTCTATCTAAAAAGTGACATGGATAATTCCTCCGTATTCCTTTTTTTGTTTTTTGTTGTTTTTGAACTAAGAAGTGCATGACACAAATTCAATGAGGCATCAATGATTAACAGGACAAATTTTTAGCAGACTAAGATATTGATTAAAAGAAGCTGCAGATCTCCATTCCATTTATTGTTTTTTCTTTTGATACAACATCCAACTCAAAACTACTGGCAATGGATAGATGACCCTTCAAGTATATAAACCAATCTTGGTAGTCTTAATTGCTCAATTTAGGATACAAGCTCTCTTAACAATGGTTACAACGTAAAGTATTCATGCATTCACATAAATCGAGTAAACTAAGACTTTCCTGAGATTCACACTTGAAACTTTGTGGTAACAGTACAAGAAGTCTTTCCATCTGATCATACCCTTCAGAGTATATAATTATGCACACATGCTTTACCTTGTCTATATGACTTGGGTGTTTATAGGTCTTTGTAATCATTATAAGATAAAAAAATTAATGTTTAACCAATAAATCCAATTTTTTTATAAATTCAGGATAATACTGTAATAGTTGTCATATATTATGTAGTTATGTATACTTTGATACACCGTGTTATGGTATATTGTAAGTGTACTTTGTTGTTGTGTCAATGTCCCGCCCTTTTAAATCAAAACATGTTGGCATGACCATTCAAGTCGTATCCATGTTTCTAAAAACAACCATGTCATGACTAAAAGCACAAATTTCAATGGACACATGTTACATAATTAAATCTAATAATCTACTCAAGCACTAACGAACAAGAAGAAAATGGTTAAATGTTTTAACCCCACCAAAGATTCACTAAATCGACGACGCACTCTAACACAGATGATGGGCGAACTCAAGTCTATTTAAGACCTAAAGTGACAGATTGAAATGAGGCCTTTTAAGTGATAATGTAAAAATAAAATTAATTTAAATTTTATTCTTCTTGCTTTTTGAGATATAAAATTACTAAATAATTTTTTGTACTCAAGTTTTGATCCCATATTTTTTTCAAATTCATAGTATGATTAATCTCCTTAATCTTTATTGTGACATACTCAATCTTAATTTTCTTGTGGCTAATTTATTTCAATTTTAAAAATTTTNTTACACTACATTTATTGGCCGCCGAAGTTGTTGATAAGGACAAAATGCCCGTAACATCTCTCTCTCTCCCTCAAGTTCTTCACTCACCGCCAAGAAGTCATCCAACTCTCCACGACCAAACTATAAGAAGAGCTCTTCTCTTCCCATTTTCTCCATCACTAAGCTCTCTCTCTCAGAAGAAGAAGAAGAAGAAGAAAATGGCTTACAAATCTGGATCAATCCTTGCTTTCCTATTCATCCTCAATGTTCTGCTCTCCTTATCAGGTCATGCACTTGCAGGACGTGACATTCCAATGAATGACTCCAAGAACACAGACAAGAAACAACCCGAGTCATTTTTTGATGGCAGTGTGCTCATTCCGGGCTTTGGCCGCGTCATGGTCCCAAGCATAGGGTCACCTTTCAATCCATTCACATACAATCCCGTCACAGGCACCAATGGGGGAACCGGTGCCACCATCCCTGGCTTTGGCAGCATTCCATCCACCGGCGGGACCAGCGGTGGCAGCTATGTTCCCGGTGGTGACGACACCTTTCCCACAAACCCTGGGTTCGAGGTCCCGATCCCGGGGAGTGGTAGCGGTATTCCTGCACCACCTGGTCCTTGAGGTAGTAGGAGTTGTCAGTTCAGTGTCCAACAAATAAGCATGGCAGTGCATGACTTTCTATCCATCACTGCCATGCCATGAAGTCTTTCATATTGCACGTATTTACCAAGAAGTTATATCTACTTCGATGCGATATAAGTTACCATGATTACATTGCCTTCGTATGCTATTTTACGCTCTTAAATCTCTAACTATATCACTCAAAAGAGAAACCCGAAATAGACAAATTCCATCAATACTCTGAAATTTGTAAGTCGGGGTATTTAATCAACATCTTCTAACATTTAAATGAAGATAGATGAAAAGACACACATTTATTATTGTCCAACTAAACTAACGACAGATGTTCAAATAAAAAAAACACCAATTTAATCACGCATAATATCACTATCAAATTATCACATAATTAAATGAAAATACTTTATAACCCAAATTTATATCCCAAATAAAGAGGACCATTAAATTAGTGGTCCCGTTAACTTTTTAAAATGAATGCATGTGTTGCATCCCTCAAAACCTTTTTTTGTCCTCACAAGATATGACAAAAAGGAGACATCAAACTTTTAAATGCTTGTTACATCCTTAAAAGTCACTGCTTGATGTACACAATCATAATTCATAATAAAATAAACATGTTTTCCCCCACAAGTCGTTTTTAAAATTAAATACATGCCTCTTGCTGGCGCTGCCAATGTCCCTTTCTATCTTTAAAATTTTACCTATTATTTGACGGATCAATGGCTATAAAATGTTTTGAATGTTTCTTCCTTTCTTAATAGCCAAATCCAACTACCACATTATGAATCATCCATGTAAATTTAAAGCATTAATGGTACAAGAAATCTTTATAAATAGTAATCTGATCAACGAAAAAAGATTTATATGTCAATTTAACAATATAATACTATTTGAGTTAGTTATTTAACTACGGTTCTTTTGAAACTTATTGACCCAAATAGCATAGTTATTTATCATTCTGTTGTTTTCAAATAAAAAACATGCTTTGAAAACATGCTTTCAATGAATAACTTTTTTTTAAAAAACACAATTTTCATGCACAAATAACACTAGAGTGACTTCTCTAATACATGGAATTCAGTACCCCCATCGTGCAACATACGGCTCACATCTGGATCTGACCAACACAATGCCTCTAAATCGCTAGAAACCTAGAACCTGAAACTGAAATGGATGCAAGCTTCATCACCCTGCAGAAAATGGACAACAAAATAGTCTCAAGGTATGTAAATCACATGTAATTAGAGAATTACAAAGTAGTTATAGACAACCTGTTCAATTTTCTGAGAGTTTATCTCGTTTCTTTAAAAAGCAAATAATTTATAAACTGCATATAAGTGAGACCCTCATAAATTCTTATTCTCAGTTTTGCATGACAGCTTCAGTGGCTTGCTTCTTATGATCAGATTAGACATGAGCCATAGTGAATTTAAGGCTCAATGACCGTCTAAGTGTGCTTAAGCTATTTTTTGGCCATTCCCAACAATACACAACAAAAATCATCTTCTTCTTTATCACTGCTGCATTCACTAACGTTACACAAACTTTCTCAATGCTTTAGTTTGTATGCGGCGGTGTGTGCAAAAGCATGTTTCATGGTGTACCGGTGAGAGGGAGAGAGATCTCCTTAACACTAAACCTGGGAACTTTTTATAAAGCAGCTACCGAAGTAGGAGGTATCAAGGCAAAGTGCTTAGCAATAGTGGTCATCTACTTTACAAGTCATCAAAAACTTGGGGGTTGGCGGGTGTGTGGGCCTGGGGGGCTCTCCACTCATAATATAGTTAGTTGGTGAACGGAATTCTAATAAAAAAACATGAATACCATGTTACCAAAAAGCCACAAATAATAGTACAACAAGTCAATAACAACGATTTGTTCTGAAGGAACGTCCAGGCAAAGAATTTCAGTCTTGGACAATTTCTAAAGCATCAAAATCAATTGAACGAAATGAATTTTTAGCTTAGCTAATATTTTTGCTGAAGAAGGTCAATGAAACTGATGAGTACAGAAGATAATACACATAGAAACCGCATTGATGTGTATTTAGGTGTACAATGAATGAACCTAATAAATAGACCACCTACCACATGCCTTTCTCACTTAGACAACCTTTAGACAAATAAATTCTAACTACTTGATCATACGAAATCTTGCTTTAATCATGATAAGTCACTTAAATGAGCTTTCTCTCATGTCCACAAAATTGAGTAGCAGTAACCTCACTCAATAATTCCATCACTTCCTATGAGTCAATTTCTTGTGGAATCAACATCCAAATCATGAAGAACAATGTTTTGTTGCTGTCATTCTCAACTTAAAGCAAAACATGGCTGCCATAAGAACTCTCCATCAATGCCTCTCGCATCACTTTAATCACACAGCTACCTCAGAGTCATGGCTGCCAACCACATTAGTACTATCTCCAACAATAACAAGCAAATCACTATCATCAAGTCCAAGAAGTTACTCTTCTATATATCCAAAGTCTAGGATTCACTGAAAGGTGTAAAACACAAATCCTTGAAAACTAATCTGGATGATTAAGTCTTCATGCACATTAAAGAATCAATAAACTTTCGCTCCACGTCTATCTAAAAAGTGACATGGATAATTCCTCCGTATTCCTTTTTTTGTTTTTTGTTGTTTTTGAACTAAGAAGTGCATGACACAAATTCAATGAGGCATCAATGATTAACAGGACAAATTTTTAGCAGACTAAGATATTGATTAAAAGAAGCTGCAGATCTCCATTCCATTTATTGTTTTTTCTTTTGATACAACATCCAACTCAAAACTACTGGCAATGGATAGATGACCCTTCAAGTATATAAACCAATCTTGGTAGTCTTAATTGCTCAATTTAGGATACAAGCTCTCTTAACAATGGTTACAACGTAAAGTATTCATGCATTCACATAAATCGAGTAAACTAAGACTTTCCTGAGATTCACACTTGAAACTTTGTGGTAACAGTACAAGAAGTCTTTCCATCTGATCATACCCTTCAGAGTATATAATTATGCACACATGCTTTACCTTGTCTATATGACTTGGGTGTTTATAGGTCTTTGTAATCATTATAAGATAAAAAAATTAATGTTTAACCAATAAATCCAATTTTTTTATAAATTCAGGATAATACTGTAATAGTTGTCATATATTATGTAGTTATGTATACTTTGATACACCGTGTTATGGTATATTGTAAGTGTACTTTGTTGTTGTGTCAATGTCCCGCCCTTTTAAATCAAAACATGTTGGCATGACCATTCAAGTCGTATCCATGTTTCTAAAAACAACCATGTCATGACTAAAAGCACAAATTTCAATGGACACATGTTACATAATTAAATCTAATAATCTACTCAAGCACTAACGAACAAGAAGAAAATGGTTAAATGTTTTAACCCCACCAAAGATTCACTAAATCGACGACGCACTCTAACACAGATGATGGGCGAACTCAAGTCTATTTAAGACCTAAAGTGACAGATTGAAATGAGGCCTTTTAAGTGATAATGTAAAAATAAAATTAATTTAAATTTTATTCTTCTTGCTTTTTGAGATATAAAATTACTAAATAATTTTTTGTACTCAAGTTTTGATCCCATATTTTTTTCAAATTCATAGTATGATTAATCTCCTTAATCTTTATTGTGACATACTCAATCTTAATTTTCTTGTGGCTAATTTATTTCAATTTTAAAAATTTTTGTTCCGTAGAAGCACCCTTTACATGTATCATATTTTTTTTTATTTTGTCATTAAGTTTTTCATATCTCAATTAGCGTTTTCTAGTTGATGTATTTAGAATATAATATTCAAAAAAATAATTACAACCAATCGCACGCACATTATTTAAAAAAACATGTTTCATATTGGAATTAACAATTCAACAAGTTCTAATATTATGAAACAACAAAACTTGATTTATCATTGATGTCGTAACATCAAATATGATATTTTGTTTTTCTACCAACATCACCCATTAGAAAAAACTAAAACTAAGAAGAGAATAGTAGAGTAGTGATTAATATACATGAGATTTGAGATGTGGGTTTTGTAATACAAAAGCTCTATACTGACAAGAAAGAAGATAGAGATTCTGTGAGACAATCAGATAGAAGGAATATTTTGGAGGCGTCTTGTTCCAGGTTCTTCGGCGACTTAAGGTTTCTGTGTTTTCGAATCTTTCCTGCTTCTAGCATCTGATTAGGTACGTTTCTTTCCCTACCTTCTCTTTACTCGATATGGATCCCTTCAACCCTCCCTAGTGGGGCTTTGGGTTTCGCTTTTTGATTGGAGGTTTAGTTACTTTAGGAACCTTTTCGACAATTTGTCTTCTCTTTCGTGGTTCATAGACCACTCCTCGCTATCGAGGATATTCTTTTTTAGGACCTGGTGTCTGAAATCTTTATTCTTGACGAACTATGCCCTGCACTTGCCTCCTCTTCACTCTGATTTGCAATTCAAGCCACTAATGGGGCAGATAGTTGTTTCTTCTTCTGAATCTAAGTTTGAAGAACAGGTCGCCGAGGAGGTTTAGGAGGCTACCTCGACCTCTTCTAGCGATCGTTCCCTCACTACTGGCTAGGAGGCTTCTGGGTCTACCCTCGGAGTTTCAACCTTAGCTCCTTTAGTAGAGGTTCAGGCTCCTTTAGCTTTACCTCCTATTCTCTCTAACCAGTCGAGGAAGAGGAAGTCCAAGCCAATTCCATCTTCTGTTCCTAGGAGAAAAACCCATCATGATCAATCTGATCTGACCTGTTGTGCGGAGGCAACTCCCAACTGTCTCAATGATGAGGTTCTGGAGGAGTTGAGGCGAGAGTATCATTTCCCTTATTCCATTTTCTTGCATTCTCCCGAAGAGCATGAGAGGTGCAATTCCTCTATTCCCAGGTTAACCTATTTTTTTGAATATGCATTTCGGTCCGGTCTTCTGTTCCCATTTCACCCTTTTATTCAAAATGTGCTTGGTT